CGGGAGCTGACTTACCCTGGCATCCTACTGACCTCGGTAACTTCGCTAAACTGTACGGGTGTGGGTCAGAGACACCTGCCAGGCCAGGCGGAGGACATGAGGCTTCCGGTTCACACTCGTCCAGGGCCGGATCGTGATCGCTATCGGAGAGAGGAGGGATGATTTTCTGAGGTGATGATCGGTCAGCCTTCTGTGAAGATCTATCGCTGGAGGCTTCCCGGCGGGGCCTGACGTCTGGCGCGGTTGAGCCTGGAGAAAACATTGTATCTTCGATCAGCAGATGGCCCAGGAGATTTTCACTCGAATGAAGGGCGCCTACGTTGGATCACGCCGGCGACACGGGCGCTGGACGGCTCAACAACATTCTGGTCGGTGGAGCCGCGACCGCTCATGTCAACCACCTCCACGACGTCCAGACGTTCCAGCTCAGTATCGAACTCATTCAACGGAGCGTTCGATGCTCGAACGCCGATCTGGCTGTCCAGGCCACCTAGGTTATCTCTACGGAAGTGAAGAGGGGGCCAGGGAGGTGAATGGGTGTTTAGCAGTGGTTCAGGGATGATGAATTGTGCTGGGGTCAAAGGAGTGGGCTGGAGAAGATGGTGTTCACGAATAGAGGGCTTGGTGGGGAGAGGCTGGAGAGGCTTGGGAGGCTTGGGGGGAAGTGGGCAGTACGGGATGATGAAGTCCATATCCACGGCCATGGTTATTAGGGAAGGGAAATCGTCACTGGCGAGGGGTTAAACTCCACAGTGCATATTGTTCGTTCCCTCACGTCCAAACAGACGGGGAAAGCAGGCCCCTTATATAGACTCTATGTACATTCTCCGCATCAGCGAAAGGGCGAAGAATTCAGTTCCAGCGATCCCGGCTACAAGCACAGCAAGGACGAATCGGCGACACCGAAACCAAGTAGTAGCTCCTCATCTTCTCTCGTCTCCTGCCCCCGCTCGAGGAACCATTCACACCCTGGGAGAAAAAAGCAAAGATAGAAAATAACGGAGCTCGCTGAATTGTTCCCTGATGCGATTTTGCGCTATACGTATTCTCTATCAAAGCCACGTCAGCTGGGCAGTGGTGCCTCGCCACGGATCGAGGTAATCGGCCCCACGGCAAGGCAGACTTTGGAGTGCGTATGGAAGGTACGAGACGGCCGATTCGCGTGCAGAAAAAATTCGAATCTGCCTCCGGAGAAACCGCCAGGAGGGAGCGCGGCCCCCGCAAGACCCGGTCTTCATCCCTGCATTTTTGATCATTTTTTTTGTTTCCCCCCTCCCGTGCGCCAACCATCGTTGCATTGGAGCGGCTGAGTCGCGCAGGGATTTGGAAATTCGACTATCGGATAGGAAGCCACTGTTGCAGAAATTACCCCTCCCCTCTCTTGTGGATTCGCCAGGTTTCTCCGGAAGAGCCGGAGATGCGAACCATCGCAGGATCCCCCTGGTCCGGGCCAAACGAGCGTCACAATCGTCGCCGGGGTCGGAGCAATCTAAACGGGAAGCAGGAGGCGCAGCTCCATGTCGCCGCGGAGATAGCTGCGATCGAGGCGACCTCCCTTACGCTGCAAACGCCCCCCCCAATCGTCCCTCTCTGATTCGCCAAGTTGATGGGTTGGTGGTGGGATGGTGGGATCCAGAACAGACGAGGCTACCACATGCAGGAAAACCGGCCGACGTGCATACGCACTGGGTGCCACATAAGACAGGCCTGGTGCTCACTGCCTGCGTCCGTTGGGGTGAGGGATTTTCGCCATTGGCCGCCGGCCCAAGCGAGGGGAATGAAACGCATGTCGATCCTTCGCCCAGCATGGAGGTGGAGCGAGGATGCAAGGCGTTTTTGCCATCACGAGCTGCAGTTCGAGCACAGGGAAAGAAACACGTCACAGAAGTGGGGATGGGAGGACGTTGCTCTTAGACGGGTAATTTCCGGAACGGAGGCGTAGCTCGTCTGGATCATCCCGGGTCGACAGATGGAACTAGAAACCACGTAGCACACATGGCTGTCGGAGGAGATAGGTGTCTCAAGGGACCTCTTCCCGGTGATTTTCACGAGAACGGACCAGAGGCGAAACGGAGGGTAAACGGGCTCGCGGCGCAGGTGCTTGCCTGCTGGCCTGCTCGGCCATCAGCCAGAAAGAATCAGCACAGCACAGCACAGCAGGTCCCTCCATGCAGGCCCCCGGCTCCAGGCGCTGGAGCGGAGCGAAGCGATGCGACGGCAGCACCAGCATCACCGGCAGTCGGGTAGCGAGCCAATGAGGCGGGTGAGAAGGAAGAATGGGGGTGGCGAGGTGGCGCCATTAGCACCGGGGGAGGGGGGATGAGGGAGGGAAGGGAAGGGGGCTAGGCCGGTGGGCGCAGAGGACATGAGAAGTGAAAAGGAAGAGGGAGGGCGTGGAAGAAAGAGGGAGTCGGAGGAGGTTTATATAGGCGTCAGACGGGCCCGACGACCGCGACGTCACGGCCCACCGACGCGGCGAGAGGGAGTCTAAACCCGGAACGGACGACGCCAGACCCGAACGGGCGAGGCCATGCCGGATGGGGGGGGGCGCCAGGCCGCAACGGGGTAGGCGCGGTGCGGCGGGCGGCGGCGGGCGCGAAGCGGCCGGGTCGACGCAAACCGAAATAATACTAGAAAAAATTCAAGATTTCAATTCAATCTGAGATATGATTTAATATCTGACTCTGATATTCTTGTTGGTGACATTGTGGATATGAAAAAACAGTTTGAAAATATTCAATTAATCAATATCTACAATGAAAGATCACTGAAAAAAAACAATAGAACTTGGACATTTGATAGATGTTTAATGCAGTTGAAACCAGGAAAAAACTTAATAATCATGGGGGATTTCAATGCTCATCACTCTTGGTGGAATTCAGAAAGAACTCAGTCAGTTAGATCTGAGAAACTAGTTGAATGAGCACTTTTAAACAAATTAGAGTTGATAAATAAGCAAGATATTCCCACCTTTTACAAGCCAGGTTTGAGACAGAAATCAATTATAGATTTATGTTTTTTCTCTAAGAATCTATATGAGAATAAACATTTTAATTGGTATATTGACTCAAATGAAACAAATGGTGCTGCCACTGGACATGAGATAATTTGTGAGGGGTGATGACAGTGTGAAGAGTGAATAGTAGAAGATAGTATAGAGTGTAGTGGAAGATAATAATAATTATAGTAGTAGTATAGTTGAAGTTGTAGTTGTAGTTGTAGTTAATCGCTGAAGAGGAAAAGAAAGAGAAAGAAGATGTGCGAAATACATGCATCCATATATATATACATACAGAAATAGTGGTAGCGAGAGTATAATGGAAAGAGGTAAGAATAGACGAAGATATAAACAAAGATAATATAATAATAAGGAAATAATAAACGAGTGCATTACAATTGCCCCCCTTTTTTATAAGAGCTGCCCTCAGCGATTGTATAGATTGCTTGCTAGTAGATGTTTGCATTTCCGTATTGTAGATGCCGCTTGTTGATAGCAGTGTATCGATCGCGTCCCCTCAATAGCTTGTATACGCGTTCTTATCGATTCCTTAATGAGGTAGAATTGGTGGATTCTTTGGTTGCTAGGGGTTGCGTGCAGAGAAACAAAAAGAATTTCTTTTCCTTTGAAAATTTCTCTTCTTTTTTAACTTGACCATCATCAAAACTCTTTGCCCTCCTGCTGCGATTTTTCGTTCTTAATTCAATAAAATTTTCGTTCTCCCTCCCCCCCCCTTTTGTTAAATGGGCTCCCTCGGATATCCCGATTTTAAGTAAGTTGTTCTTCGCGTATTATTGTTGGTGTTCTCTGTCAGTGGCGTTATTAGCGTGGTCACATGCTTCACTAGCTTGTTCCAGTATAGCATCATTCGCTGTTCGCTTGTTCTGTTGCCCTAGCTTTAACCCTAATCTCGTGACGTACAACAGTCGGATTCCGTGCGAACGTTGTGCCTGGTCCTTCCAGGGCAGAGGTGTTAGAGGAAGAGGAGGGTGTGGAGGAGGATGTGGGGGTTTTGGAGGTGTTGAGCTCCGGGGGCTCCGTGGCGGAGGGGTTGATTGGAGAGGAGTTGACGGGAGAGGAGCTGGCTGGAGAGCCAATGGAGGAGGTTGTGAAGGCGCCGGTGGCCGCAGTGCCATTGGCGTCTGTGGAGCAGGGGGAGCGGGTGCCCCGGACGGTGGAGGAGTGGGGGGAGAAGATGGGGGGGGAATGCCTTCGTTAACCGGATGTGCCGGAGAATGGGTAGGTTGATGGGGGAGGGGAGGAGTGAGGAGGCAAATGTTCTGTGGGATAGGCATTTGCCTATACCTCTGCGCCCAAAATGGGTGCCGGTAATTTACGAATACGTGAGATTTGCGCTTCTAGCGTTTTTCAACTTGAGATTCGCGCTTTTGGCGTTTGGGAGTATGTTGGTTTTGTATTTGTCGTTCATTTTCTTGTTCAAGGAAGATTTCGAATGCCTGAGTGTTTAATATGTTTTCTTCCGGTTCCCATGTATCACCACTAGGTCCCCAACCTGTCCATCTCACAAGATATTCCGGAGGTTTGTTTTTTCGTTGTCGTTTTTCAAGAATTTCCTCAACTTGGTATTCTTCTTCGCCGTCGACAAGTTCCGGTCCTGGTTCTGGTAAAGCTCCATTCCTGCGGTTGTATGGCTCCAATAAAGAAACATGGAATACAGGATGGATGTTTCTATATGAAGGTGGCAGTTCCAGTTTGTACGCTTGTTTTCCGATGGTATTCAGAATCTTGAAGGGTCCAACATATTTATGGTCGAGTTTACGAACCGGGCGTAGTAATCGGAGGTTTTTTGCATTGAGCATGACGTAGTCACCTATTTTAAATTGTTGAGGCTTATGTTTTGCATCGTAATAGATTTTCTGTGCTTGTCGTGCTTTTTGTAGGTTCTCGATGAGCTTGTGGCGTGTTTCCTCAATATGTTTCGCGCGGCTAGCAGCATGTATGGCAACCGGTTGTGGCGGTTTGCTGACGTTTAATTTTCAAATCAGGTCGATATCCCATTAAGGCTTCCGCGGGTGCCATTCCAGTAGAGGCATGTTGAGAGGTATTGTAAACAAACTGTGCTAGTGGTAGCCAGCGTGCCCAGTCATCTTGATGATAGTTGACAAAGCATCGGAGATAATGTTCCAAGGTTTGATTCTGTCGTTCCGTTTGGCCATCTGTTTGAGGGTGAAAGGCTGTCGAAAGTTTCCGGCGTGCGCCTAGCATGTAACAAAAGGTGGACCAGTAATGGCTTGTAAACAGCGAACCTCGATCGGATATATGGTTTTTAGGTACTCCGTAAATTGTATAGAACTTGGTATAAACGATTTCCGCTAGCTCATCCGCTGTAATGTTTTTGGTGCAAGGAATATAGATCGTAAACTTGGTATATATATCCACAATCACTAAAATCGCATCGTAGGTTTGGTGGAGGAATGTAGAGGCTGGCAAGCCTGTAATAAAATCCATAGTAATGGATTCAAAAGGATTTGATGGTAAGGGAATTATACCCAACTCTCCATATTGTCTGTGCCGTTTTGGCTTAACTCTTTGACAAGTATCACAAGTGGATATATAATCTTTGACATCCCTGACTAGCCCATGCCAATAGTATTTGTCCTGGATGCTGTCTATGGACTTTTTTATACCAAAGTGACCCCCCTGCGGATCATCATGGTTTGCACTGATAATTTCATCAATGAGTGCCTTTTGTTGAGGGACATATGCGCGACCATCAGCACGCAATATATCATCCTCAGAAATTGTCCATAGCATATTTTCAGCAACAGTCATACCCTTCTCTTTTACCTTCTCTCTTTGCTCAGCAGCAAAAGAATCAATCTTCTGTGCTTTACTCAGAAATGAGGTGAAGGATTCAGGCATTTCTGTATATGCTGAGTCCCCAAGAATAGCCTTATTGACTGCAATCCGGGGCATATATTGCTCAACGCGCATCAGAGGGGAAGAGTTTACGCGAGAGGTATAAGACGTCGACGTATGGAGCGCTTTTCGCTCATTAAAAGGAGCATTTTGCTCATTAGAGACCCGTGCACAGACTACATCAGAAGAAATATCATTTTGAAAAGAAGTATCAGCTTCCCAGCCTAGCTTAACTCCATGTTTCAGTTTCTGTTGCAGGGTAGGTAACATAGTTTGGCCATTATAGGCCTCACTGTAGTCTGCGCGACGACTGGGCCCATCAGCTGGATTCTTTGATCCAGGGCGGTGCAGTAATACAAAATCATAAGCAGATAAAGCTTCCGCCCATCTGGCCTGACGTCTGTTCAGTTCCTTAGTCGTCATAAAGTACTGCAGATTGGCATGATCAGACCAGACTTGAATTGGATACTGGCTTCCCTCCAGATAGTGTCTCCAATTCTTAAATGCTGCTACAATAGCCAAGAGTTCTTTATCATGAGTATCATAACGCGTTTCCGCATCAATCAACTTTCTTGACCAGAAGGCAACTGGATGCCAGTGCCCGTCATCCTGCAATTGTGACAGGATAGCAGCGACTGCAAAAGTGGACGCATCAGGTTCAATCTGAATACGCCGAGCTGGGTCAAAATGAGCTAATAAAGGAGCACGCAGAAAGCGCGATTTGAGCTCATTGAAAGCGCTTTGGGCACTTTCTGTCCACATAAAAGTGGCTTTTCTTTCCCCTTTCTTGCTCCCTTTTGTAAGTTCGAATAATGGGGCTGCAATAGAGGAGAAAGACTTAATAAATCGCCGATAGAAGTTAGCAAAGCCCAAAAAGGATTGAACCTCTTTAATTGATTTAGGTGTAGGCCATTCCACAATAGTGGAGACTCTGTCTGGCTCCATCTCAATACCATTTGTACCTATAACAAACCCCAGAAACGAGACTTTGTCCACTTCAAACTCACATTTAGAGAGTTTTGCAAATAGATTCGCACGCTCGAGACGTTCTAGCACCTTAGTAACATGCACTTTATGTTCCTGCTTTGAATTGGAGAATATGAGAATGTCGTCCAAATAAACAACGCAACATATATCCAACAAATCAGACAAGGCATTGTTAATGTATGCTTGAAATGTCGCTGGAGCATTAGCTAATCCAAATGGCATAACTACATATTCAAAATGTCCATATCTCGTTCTAAAGGCTGTCTTCCAACGGTCTTTTGCCGCTATAAGTATGCGGTGGTAGGCATCTCGAAGGTCCAGCTTAGTGAATACCTTGGCTTTTGAGAGCCTGTCAAGTAATTCACTTATTAGAGGTAGAGGGTATCGGTTCTTGATGGTGATTCGATTTAACCCTCGATAGTCTACACAAAGACGGAGTCCACCATCTTTCTTGGGGACAAAGAGAATTGGTGCACCAGCCGGGCTACTGGACGGTTGTATCCACCCTTTGTCTAATGCATTCTTTAAATATTCTCTTAGGGCAGCTAACTCAGTTTCAGAGAGGTTGTATATCGGCATGAATGGAGGTCGCGCACCAGGCTCGAGATCTATGCGGTGTTCCGCCTCTTCTGGTCTTTGCGCGCTTATAGCAGCTTCTTCTGAGAAGATATGCGCGTATGGCATAACATAATCGGGTAGGCCGGTCGGCAAGTCCGAATATGCAGCCGAGAATACGCGTGGAGCATGCTTTGGGTCTTTTGAACATTCTGTAGGTAATACTACAAGCATTCCTACTCTGGCTCCGGTGAGAACTTCAGCTAAAACATCTTGTTCAGAAATAATTTGAGGCTGTTGTTCATCTCCAGAGCTTCTGAAGAAGAATTGTCCATCTGACCAATCTATAAGAGGATTTGTTTGTTTTAACCAAGGAAATCCTAACACAAGATTGTAGTCCTTCATTTTCATCGCATGGAAGGAATGAGATGTCTGCTGTGCATTACCCTTGTGATCAGTGACAGTGGTTGCAATGTTATACTCTCCAAAGGAGCGCATTATGCATCCATCAATCGATTTGACCATCTTGGTTTTGCGGTGAGCAGCTTCTAGATTGTGGTCTTTTGCCCAAAATTCATCGACACAGTTCACTTCTGACCCAGAGTCTACTAGTGCAAGCACTTTTTGCAGACTCTTAGGCGTAGTGATTTCCACTGTGACATTGAAACTTAAGGCATTTTTGCATCGACTTTCCGCGCTTATAGTTGCCATTGCGAGCTGAATGGCGCGCTTTAAGCGTTTTTTGAGTCCTTTGTGTTCTTCGTATCTTTCGCATTGAGTTTCGAGTCGGATTTAGTGTTCTTGGATTCATCTTTGGGTCGTTTGAAGCATGAATCGACGGTATGTCCTGGTCGCTTGCAATAACGGCAATATTTCGATCGGGTGGAGTCATCGGACTTTGTAGTGTCATTCCATCTGCGTTTGTTTTGTGGCTTATTACCAGCATTATTTCTGTTGTTAAAGCTTTGAGTAGGGTTTCTGAAGTTTGACTTCTCTTTAAGTTTCTTCCGTCTTTCTGGCAGATTTGATTCTGCTATTGCAAGTTTGTGAAGAGTGGCATCATAGCTTAACTCTTCTAGTTTGGTTGCATATTTGTCAAATTCTCGGCGAATGGAAGGTAGAACTTTCATGTAGAGGTGTGATTTCCGATGGTATTCGCTATAAGGATGCCGCAGACGCCCTTCAATTGATTGTAAATGTGAAGCAAATTGTTGAACTGTCTGATCTTCTTGTTGCTCTGTTTTCCAGTACTGTCTATCTGCATCTCGGAAACTTTTATCTGGATCGGTGACTTGACATTGCATCCAGCTAACAAATTCTTCCCATGGTGGCAAAATCCGCATATCATGTGTATGTTGATACCAACGTTGTTGCATCTCGACATTGAAATGAGTGACGGCTTCGATGACCTTCCGATGGTCGTGTTCGTTGTAATAATCAAGATCACTGGCATGGAAAGCGATAGCAGCTGTAACAAAGTTTTCAAATTCTTTCATGCTTTGGCCTCGGAACTTTTCCACATCTCTCCGAGGAGGGTGACCGCTCATGCCGGGATCTCGAAGTTCTAATTGCCAAAGTGGTACCCGACTACGTCTCCCACTGACAGTAGTCACGGCGCTTTCCACTAAGGTGTTGGGCGCTTGTAGCGTAGGCTCCGGTGGTCCGAGGATGCTTGTGGCGTTTTCGCGGTTACAATTCACGCTAGTTGCGTCTCTACCATGGTTCGGATGCGCTTCGAGTGTATTTCGGGTGGCTGGGATGGTTTCATCCAATTCTTGCAGTAAAGTATTGCACCGGTGTTGGAGTTCTCGCAATTCCTTCTCAGCCTGTAACTTCTTAATTCTCCTAGTCACAGCTATCTTCTCGGCCTCAATTGCATTCAGATCTTCAGAAGAGGTGTCCCCTTCTGAACTATGCTCAGAGTCTGGTTCCATAGGAGAGGTTGATGCTTGTTGCACACTTTCAGTGGCAGGGGTGCGCGTTTCACGGTTTTCTTCACTGGTGTTTGTTGCTTCTGGTTCGGCGGTAGCACGAGTACGGCGGATGCTGCGGGTAGAGGCCATGACTATTACTCAACGGACCGTCTCTCGAAGATTGAGCGATTAGAAACTGTGAGGGGTGATGACAGTGTGAAGAGTGAATAGTAGAAGATAGTATAGAGTGTAGTGGAAGATAATAATAATTATAGTAGTAGTATAGTTGAAGTTGTAGTTGTAGTTGTAGCTAATCGCTGAAGAGGAAAAGAAAGAGAAAGAAGATGTGCGAAATACATGCATCCATATATATATACATATAGAAATAGTGGTAGCGAGAGTATAATGGAAAGAGGTAAGAATAAACGAAGATATAAACAAAGATAATATAATAATAAGGAAATAATAAACGAGTGCATTACATTGAAGCAATTCTTGATAATAGAACCAACCACTACTGCTGTGAATATTTTATTAAATAAATAGAATACAATCACTCAATCTAAGAACCCGCATTCATCATGAAGGACACTGCCGCTCTCAATGCTTACAAATCATCACTCACTCTGATAAAAGAGGATAATATGATAGATTAGCATCATTTAATAATTAATTTACACAATCAACTTTTTCTGCCTCATGCTTCACATTCATATAGTTTTAATGATTTGTTCATGTGCTCATATAGTTTCTCACATTTCACATTCATATAATTTTAATGATTTTTCTGTGTAACTCTCAATGTTTTTCTGCTTCATACTTCATTGTGAAGCAGTTTCTGATATTCTTTCACTTTGATTTTTTTTTTATAAAAATCCTCTTCATATAATCCTTTCTTCTGATCTTTTTTCTCTTTCTTTTCTTAATTAATTCATAATTTATATTTAGAATAGTGTTAGATAATTAATTGATGTACATTTGTTATAAAAATTAAACTATATTATTTATTTACTGATCATCAAATTTATTTAAAAAAATCAATTGAATGATTATTTTCTTTATCAGAATAATATAGAATTGAAGAATAAAACTCTTTTCATATTCAATTCTGATAATAAATAAAATATTACTATATTTATATATCATACACTGAAGTATACAGATTTGTTTTATATATAATCAAAAAATACACTTAGAATCTGAACACAGATTTTGAAGAATTTGTTGAAAATAATATTTAATAATATTTTATTATTTATCAATATTTTTAGATTCAGCATAACTCATAACAATTTATAACATATTTTTAATTTTCATTAAAAGTATTTACTTTAATGATAGTTTTTGAAGCATCATTATTGCTGATTTTTATATTTTCTTTAATTCACTTTGATTATATTTAACTACATTGTTTGACTCAGCTGTCAAAAAAAGATGTTATATGATTGATTCAAAAATTGTTAAAAGATTTCAGATGTTATTAAAAGTTGATGTATTGTGTAAAATGATTGGATTATGTAAAGTTATTAGAAGTTGTCAAAAGTTGTCAAAAGTTTTCTGACATCATTAAAAAATATCAGAAATTGTCAGAAAATACTTTTAATACTTTGATTAAAACAATTAATGTCTGAATATATATTTTGATAATAAAATTCAAACACTGAATGATTGAATATAACTATGATTGAAAAATTAACAAATTGTTTCTGTGTTCAAAAACAAAGTAACAATTTTCAATGTGATACTTTATACTCACAATATAAATATTTTCAAATAAAAATTAGTTCAATCAATAGAAAATTGAAAAATTAATTCTTTAAAATGATAAAGAAATGATCTATAAATGAAATTGTACAATGATTTTATTTTAAATATTTTGATTGAAACAAATCATTTTTATATTGTTAATAAATTGAAAATCATTTTTTCTCAGACAATCTGCAAAGAGTTTGCTGAGAATATCTCATTTAAGTTTAGTGTAAGCTCCTTGACAGCTGATTGGCTCAGATGTTAGTAGGACTTGATAGTAGTTCAGATTGGGTTAGCTTGAAGTGGAGTGGCTGAGTTTTACCGAGATAAGCATCATCGTTGATGGTGACGCTGGCGCGAACGAACCCAAAATAGCGTTGTGGACTCGCTGCCCGTTTCGGAACCACCTGCGGCACATGATTTAATCACCTTACCTAAAGGCTGACTACGCTGGCCGAATGACTCCCGTTCTCTTCTATCTCTATGAATCACGCTCGACCACACTTCCCAGCTCCTCTGCTTGCATGCTAATTCGCCCGCCTTTGTCCAAACAACGCATCTTTCGGCCTGATCTGACCTGCATAATCTCTCTCCTACATACCCAACTCTTCTGCTACCTTTCGTTTATATACCGCTCCAGTGCGTGCCCGCCCAAATCCCCGCACTCTGGATATCCGATCATACCGCCACTACCCACATCTTTCCCTCGCTTTATCTACGCCCCGCCACGCTCTCAAGTACACTCGCTGTAGAGAGGGTCGTTAATTGACCTCACGATTACCACTTCATTGCGCATCTGGGAAGCCAAGTTTACCAGAAGCGGTTCTGACGTAACCATTCCCAGCGGATCGTCAAGATGAGCAGTCCAAAGCGGAGGATCGAGACAGATGTGAGTCCTGACTTGGGAGATACACCCCAAGAGAGATTCCGTCTTCCTTAGAGACGTATTGACTAACCGCCTGAATGTACTTCTTTGTTCCAACAGGTCATGAAGTAAGTTCCCATACCTGCCAATGTCCGTTTCCTGAAACAGG